CTGAAAACCACAAAGGTGTTGTATGATTTCTATCAGTCCTTTGAAGGTAGGGTACGCATAACGCTCAATAGATATTGCCTCAGAGATACAACTCAGACCTGAAAACCACAAAGGTGTTGTATGATTTCTCTCAGTTCTTTGAAGGTAGGGTGCGCATAACGCTCAATAAATATGGCCTCAGAGATACAACTCAGACCTGAAAACCATGTGTGTGTAGAAAACATCTACCGATTACTCGATCTCTGAATGAATGTGTTAACAGCCTGTGTAACGTGGGTTGAGACACCATCTTGCATGAAGACTGTAATATTCAAAACTAGCTGGAGTACCCGTCCCCTGGACGGAAGTTATATAATTCATGATTAATGAAAGGTTATCTTAGGACATGAAAAGTTGCTCCCTTAAAAATATGTAATTTTGAAATACCACAAGAAAGCCCGTAAAAATAGCTCAACACAAAATGCGAAACCACAAGTTTGTATGTTTCTCCACATGGACCCAATTAACCACCATACCAGATCCATTCAGAGAATGTGAGGTAGTGGTAAAAAACGCAGAAAATTTTAATGTACCCCCGCAAGAACCTCCATACCAATTTTGGTGGAGATCCATCCACATCCTGTGAAGTAGTTACATGAACAGACACTACTATTATAATTATAAACACATTATTGTGGTTTCTTCAGGGAAAAAGGGGACAACGACGGACAAACAACTCACTCTAACCATTCATGTGCATCTCCTGGCAGCGTCAAGGGTGATGTGTAATCTGACGTGTGTTACTCGTGACATTCTATACATTGTGGAACGTGCGTTACTCGTGACATTCCATATTGTTGATTAGGGCTCTCGTGTGCTTGGTTGTAGTTCAAGGGTGACGTGTAATCTGACGTGTGTTACTCGTGACATTCTATACATTGTGGAACGTGTGTTACTCGTGACATTCAATATTGTTGATTAGGGCTCTCGTGTGCTTGGTTGTAGTTCAAGGGTGGCGTGTAACTATAGAGATACGGTCCCGGTTTCTTACTCGTGACATTCAATATTGTTGATTAGGGCTCTCGTGTGCTTGGTTGTAGTTCAAGGGTGGCGTGTAACTATAGAGGTACAGTCCCGGTTTCTTACTCGTGACATTCAATATTGTTGATTAGGGCTCTCCTGTGCTTGGTTGTAGTTCAAGGGTGGCGTGTAACTATAGAGATACAGTCCCGGTTTCTTACTCGTGACA